TCTAACCATCACAGTGCTCACATAGAGTAGAAGTGTGTGTGTGTGTGTGTGTGTGTGTGTGTKAGAGAGAGAGAGAGAGAGAGAGAGAGAGAGAGAGAGAGAGAGAGAAAGAAAGAAAGATGTAAGCACAGAGGCCAGAAGACAGACTAAGAGAGACAGAGCAGGTGAAAGCTCAGCTTTCAATTCTGTTGTGACACTAATGAGCAGATATTAGTTGAAAGAAGAAAACTTGTTGACCCAGATGTGATTGTGGTCTTTGAAAACAAGCTATGTAAGTCAAGCAAGGAGGTAAAAGACTGGGGATGTGTGCAATACATAAGGATTTGCTTATAATAAACTGATGATTTCAGACCTAATTGCTAATTGATCACAAAGTTCCTTGGGAACCCCAGTTCCATGTTGCCCATCCTCTACTCACTTTCTTCCCCTCCCCCATTTTTTTTTCAGAAGCCAGAGGATGCCTGCTGCATCTTACACTGTAGTGCAAACAGATCCCCGCAAAGAGAGAGGAAGATAAAATGAATTTAAATTCCAAAGGGGTTCCAATGCCGGTTTCCTAGTCCCCGAGTCAGCAATGTGTTTGTGAAAATTCAGCCTTTTTGTCTCCCAGTAAAAAGGAGCTAAATCTACATCGGTGGCCCAGTCTCGGGTTGCTATTCTTTGCATTTTCTATTCGAGTGAATGAGAGTGAATGAAGTGGCCGGGACCCTTCATTTGATCTACTCAATTGCATAAAGTGACAGAATTCTAATATATTTGTTTAATGCTCTTCAATGGGCTTTCACTTTTTTTGCTTGCAAATGAAGCATCCATGGGCAAAGTTTCATCCCCCTTTAACACTGGGACATATTTCATAACTCAGGCCATGGTTTGAAGTGATCTTGAGAGGAGTTTTAGACTCAAAAAGTGGAAAATAAAGAAACAGATGTGAAGTTATTGTAAATTCCTAGAGTGGGCTCTGGGGCTATTGTGCCCCCACGGCGGGCGGTCCAGGGGCTGTCCCTTTCATGCTGTAATTGAAACATATTAATTAGATAATTTGTTGTTAGTTTAAACGAAACAAATGCATCCCCTTTGAGGCTTCACAGCCGGTGGGTTGGGTTGTTTTTGTTTTGTTTTTGTTTGGGTGTCTCTGCATATGTGGCTTTTAGAAGAAAAAAATTAATTGACATTAATAGTAAGATCCGGATCCTTTCTGTGTCCTAACTGAATACCTCTGACAAAGAAAGTTCTCTTTTGTAAAAGTATAAACCATTCCTCAAACCTCCACTTGCACTATCTCCCCATCCCTAACCTTTCATAAACTAAGGTAAAACCTACTGTCCACAGTACTGGGTTTTTCCTCTCTCCCACCCCATAACCTTACACTTTCTTGAGAACTGGGCCAAATTCATGCTTGCAAGACACTTGGTTGTTGTATATTTAAAGGCATTAACCCCAATGCTATAATATTTAAGTCACTCTGAGGTTCATGTACTAGACTACTTTGAGTCTTCAGGCTTCTCAAAACCCCCAGTCAGAAGAAACAGCAAGAACTTCTCCAACTTCCCTCTTAAGTGCATGAAACCCATCCATCGTGTGAGCATTTCCTCAAATGACAGAAAGAACTTTGAAAATGCAATTGAATACAGAATCGTGTAGTTTTTTTTTTTTTAAAAAAAAGTATCAGAATAACCAGTTTACAAATCAAAAATCTAAATTGAAAAAAATCAATACTGCCCAGATTTACAAAGTAGAAAATAATATAACTTACCTTGGTTCTCAGGACAAGACCTTTAACACACACCTTCTCACTGCGTGGTGTTATCTCCTCCGGTCTTATTTTAAAGCTGTGCATGTTGACTTTGGACTTGAGCCAGGTGAAAAGATTTAACATGACAAAGAGAGCCACAGTTATAAACTTCCTTATTTGTGGGGCACTTCAGCTAAACAGTGCACACAATCTCCAAGCWGAGGCTGGTGAAGGCAGAAATGGAGTGGGGTAGAGATGTATGTTTGGGCTGCCTTTGGATTTCTTATCAAGGTCAAAATATCATCGATGGGTGGGTTTTTTGTTGTTTTTTACTTTACTCATTCAACTTTGTCTGAGAAAAGATGTCTGCAATTGTGAAAGGAGGGTTCACAATGCCCAAGTTATTTCATTCTTTGCAATACACCATGACGAACTTACCAGCTGAAAAGAGCATTTTCAAATACTGAGTTGAAATCCCTCCTTTGCTCAATAAAATAAATAAAATCTATAACTTATTTGTCTCTGATATATATGTACACATCACTTATTGAGTCTAGCCCTCTTATAGGAGGAATGTTTTACCTGACTACATAAGCTGATGGTTTATAAAATGTGAGGCCCTTGTTAGCCTTTTATAGCACCTTCATTCCCAGTTCAAAATCAGTGTTACTRAATTTGATGAGATTTCAATATCCAGAGATGCTCTTAAGTTTCTTTTGCAGGAAACTATGAAAATGTAYTTAATTTTTTAAAATGTGAATGATTTCTTCTTAAGAACTAAGTTTCAAGAGTTTCTTAGCCCAGGGTGGCTCAGTTTTCCAGGCTTTCTTTGGCTGATCTTGTTGATATAATTGTGAATTGGGCTTGATGAATGAGTTTAGTTGTCCCCTGTCTGACGAGCTTTAGTAGCTTCATGCATTTTAATCAGTCCAATGATTCATTTATTTTCCACGTTTTTTTTGGAGGGGGGGCTGTGTGGGGGGATCCTTCCTTTGGGGAGAAAATGGTCACAACTGGATTAATTACCCTTAACACTAATCCTAAATTGTTTTTCAGGTAGTCATCTAAATATATAAGAGTCATAGGTGCTTATTATTCTCCTTATGGAGTATATGATTGTGATTTATATGTGGCTTTCTCTGTGTTGCACAAGGGTCTCTTGTTTAATCATTTTACACAGTAAAGTGTTAATCACCAGTTAAGTTTCTCTTTGTCTTGTAACTTCATTAGTGTAATATACACCTCACTCTGGAAATATTATTGTGACCCCTTCAATAAAATGCCAATTAACCTTGAGCCATAAATTCTTTAAGATTTTTAATTTTCTGAAAAAATCTGTAGTAAATATTTAAAGTCAGGCATTTTAAAAGAAACTTCATTCATGCCTTCAGAATAAATGCACCAAACATTATTTTCCCACAGGAAGGAAAGAAATCTATTCAATTCAAATTGAACAGGTTCCTTGGCATGTCAGATGACTCATTAGGTGATTTCTAAAAAAGAAAATTTCAACAACTGCAATAATTTAAAGCAGCAAGGAAATGAATTCTTCCTCTAAATGAGATGCATCAGAACATAAATATTGAGTAAGCAAGTTTGTTTTTAACTTTTAAATCTCCTTCTATCTRATTTCTATATAAGCCTCATATTAAGTCCTGTGTATTCCATAAAATGTATATTTTAAGATAGGCAAAATACACAAAGGTACTATTTTTTCAATTACAGTTTTTCTTTCAACACTACACCTGAGCACATGATTTATAATAGACATACTTGGTTTCCTCTTTCCCTATGCACAAACACCTTCAAGAGTCCATCTAGAAAATTCGTCCCTCAATCTGTAAGTGCACAAGAGAAGGCTGGATTGTTTTCACAACATAAWACCCAAAAGGCAAACTACTCAATGTATTGCAGAAAGTATACTTAGGGGAAACACCCTATCCATCTTTTGGAAAGTTGTTGTTTGTGGCAAATCTTCAAAAACACACAAAACTAAAATTGGAATTTACATATTTTAATGAGAAAATATTATTTAGACTAGGTCATAATTTAATGTAGACACCTTTTTAAAATTCTTTGTCTTAAAACAGGCATGCTGGGAACAAGAACATCAATATTTAAAATGCCATGCTAATTCTGTACAGGGAAGAAGAAAAAAATGAAAGATAAAAATTTTACAGCTCTGATGACACTACAATTTTTTTTTTTTTAATTTAAGCAGGTCACACCAGAACAACAGTTCGTTTTCCAGCAAATTACCTAAGACTCTAAAGGAATATAGCAAACAAAAGTGCATTTTACACAGTGTATAATCATTCCTATTCACAACTATTTACATCTCTTTGCAGCCCTTTAGCTTCGTGGAAAAGTTYTTGTCACAAACAGAAAGACTTGTCCAGGGGAAAACTAGATGTTGACATCCCCTTCATGTTACCAGTCAGCTTATCTAAGTTCTTCCAGGGTTGCCCTTGGTGCTTAGTTGAGATCATTTCATTTTCTTTTCTCTCTTTCTGTTCTCTTTCTCTCTCTCTCTTCAATAAAATAAATAGCTAAAAGGTCTCTAAGTAGTAGAAAGTTAACATTCCAATTAACTTTCCCATCCCCCTTTCCCTCCCCTAAACCTGGCCTGAAATGAAGAGTAAACATTCACATTACAACAGGTACTTGTAAAGTGGGCTTTGCCCACTAGCCCGCCTAGCAAGGCAGATTCAAGTTCACTGTTTACATTTTACCGGGAGCTTTGTAAACAATACAACGTTACTTTTATTTTTATTTTGCTTGTGTTAAGGACAAGCGTCCCTTTATCAACTTAGCAACCTCTCTCTTAACGCCCAGCGCCCGGAGCCTCTGGCAGGAAACAGAACTCAAAACAAAACAAAACCCATCTCCGCAGAAGCCGGGGAGGCAGGGCTGCAGCCCAGAGAAGCGGTGGTCCTCCCATTCGAAGCCTGGTGGGCGGAGGTGAATAGGGTAGGAAGATTAGTGGCTCCTTTGGGCAGAGGATTTCCAGGACCTCAGGAGATCTGGCCCTCCACTGTGCGGCTGCAGCCCTCCGAGGGCTTTCTGTTCCAGAAAATCTCCGAGGCTGTTTCTCTAGTCTTAATCTTGCGTCTAGAGTCCGGTGCTCAGCGGATTGGAACCCAGGGAAAGACGCTCTTTTCTCCGCGAAGGCGGAAGGCAGRTTTTCCCCTGCCAGTTAAATGGGATGGGGGGCCTTGGAGGCAGCGGCTGGGCTCAGGAAGTCTCCGCTTTCCCCTGGTGTAGGGGCGAAGACGACTCCCACGCGCCTTCCCGCAAGTTTGTGTTTTGTCTCCCGGGTCCAAAACAAAGTTCTCTTGAGAAAGAGAGAGAGAGAGAGGGTTGGCCAAGGTGAAATGGACCAGATAGAATAGCGGTCCTAGGTCGGAGAGGGCAAGACTGGGAGCTGGGGAAGGTGTGAGTTGATGGGGAGGGGAACGAAGTGGATGCCGGCTTCTGCGGGTCAGTGAACCGCCACCGAATGCAAGGCGGAGGCCGGGCTGGTAAGCGTTTCGCTAGGGGTGGCGGGGCTACTTTGGCTGGTGGCTGTTTGCGAGGAAGTGGGGCTGAGCGAGGGCGGCGAGTTCGACAGCAATGTGGGGATGGGCGCAGGCAGGGCGGGCAGCGCAGGCACCGCGGCCGGCGTGGGTTTGATGGGCACGGGGATGGCCGGCAGCGTCTGGCCCGCTGCATGGCACAGCGGCTTCAGAGGCACTCCGTAGGCGCTGTAGTCGCCACTCGTCATGGAGATGGGGGTTGTCGAGTCGATCATACCCGCAGAGCCGTACACGTGTGGCCAGCCAGTGCCCAGAGAGCTGCCCATGGTAGTCAACTGGTTGGGGAGCGGGTAGGCAGCGGGCACCGGCTGCATGGCGGAGAAGGCCAGTCCCCCAGGCATCTTGTATTCCCGCGCGATGATGTTCTCGATGGCGAAGGGGTGCTTGAAGCCTGAGGGCTGCGCCACGCCGCCCAGGTTGTAAGCGGCAGCGGGCATCTGCGGCAGGTGTGTGCCGGAGGCAGCGAGCGCGCTGAGCCGCAGCTTGGCCTGCTGCTGCAGGTACTGAGCCGCGTCGGCCGGCTTGCTGGGCGCCAGGTGGTCGGACTTGAGCACTTTGAAGCGCTTGCGGCGCCGCAGAAAGCTGCCGTTCTCGAACATGTCCCCGCAGCTAGGGTGCAGGGCCCAGAAGCTGCCTTTGCCAGGCTGATCCGGCCGCCGAGGGATCTTAATGAAGCAGTCGTTGAAGGAAAGGTTGTGGCGCAGGCTGTTCTGCCAGCGCTGCGTGTTCTCCCGGTAGTAGGGGAAGCGGTCCATGATGAACTTGTAGATCTCGCTCAGCGGTAGCATCTTCTCTGGCGAGCTCTGAATGGCCATGGCGGTCAGGGAGATGTAGGAGTAGGGCGGTTTCTGGTCGCTGTACGTGTTGCGACCTGGCCGAGGCATCTTCTCGTTCGCCCTCTTCTTGGTCTGGGTCCGCGCGGGCCGACGGACTACTCGGATCTGGGGAAAGGGAAGGAAATGGAGGGGAGGAGTAGCTTGGATGCACAGGCTCCGCGAGGTCCCAGGCCGAGTAACAGGCTTCGGGGAGGCGGGTAGAGGCTGCACCCCTGGATCCGCCTGCGATCGCACTTTTTCGCTAGMAACTTTGCGCACTCGGCTGGACCTGGCCAGGGGTCGCAGGAGGGAAAGCCGGCTAGTGATGCGAGGGTAGCAGGAAAGTAAGTGGGACCTAGAGCCAGGACAGCGCACCGAACTGGACCCAACCAGAGACCGCGGGAGGGGAAGCCGGCAAGTGGCGAAAGGGTAGCAAGAAAGTAAGTGGGACTTGGAGTAAAGACAGGATCAGGGATGCAACGGAGAGCTGCTCACCTTAAAGTTGCTTCAAGTTGCGCGTCCGCATCCGGAATTGCGCCGCTTGTCGCAGCGTCCCTCCCGGCACGCAGCCTAAGCGCAGCAACCTGATTTGGGTTGAACTCTACTCGAACCTGGGCTCTTGGGCTCAGCCCTGCAGCACCCCGCGCCACCGTGTCCGCGGCGCTCCGGGCCGTGCTTCCTGCGGGCGACCGAGCTCGGTTGCCGAGTCTGGGCGCCGACGTTGGCAGGGGCGTCCTCGGGGCTCCGGAGGACGCTGCTGTGGGCTCTGCGGCTCCGCTGAACTAGGTGGCTGCCTCCATGTCCTCCCTCGAACCATCTGATAGTTTTAAGCGGTGACAGGAGCAGAAAAGACCCCTGTAGCGGCGCTTCATTAATGTGCCACTTCTTAGCTATCATATGACAATCGCCTAGGGAGGAGGAGGAAGAGGAGGGGGAGCGGGGGCTGCAGAGGGAGGGGACTGAGCGAGACGGGAGAGCCTGACCAGCCCYGGTTTCTTTCACACCTATTTACATGGACACCTTGGCCAATAGAAATCACTTCCAGCTCAGGACTGGGAGAGGGGGAAGAGCCGCGGCCACTGGTGGGGAGCCGGACGCGCTGGCAGTGTGCGCGGTGTGAAGGTATGAAGAGGCAGCGGCCGCGGAGCAGGGAGCCAGGCGACCACTCACGTTCACAGATGGAGCTGCGGCGCAGATGATGTTTGACATGGAAATTGCTTGGCTGGGGTATTCTATTTCCTCTGCATTGTATGGGGTTTGTATTGTTAGCTAACTTCGGGCATGTCTTTGCTCTAAGTCGACCTTTTTCCTTCGCTGGGCACCCGGGGTAGGTTGCGTGGGTTATTATAATGAAAACATAACCCCCCAGTCTTTCAAGAGGCAGGTCGAAGTTTGATTTGACCTTCCTAAGCTGCTGCTTCAGTTCTTCACAGTTGGGTGTGTAGCTTTTAGAAAGTGGTGGGGTTTAAAATGCAAAATGTAATCGGACAGCCCCGAATAAGAGCCCATTTTGAATCTATGAATCTAAAGGCATTGATCAATTTTGTTTTTAAACAGATGATATATCTGGGCAAAGAGACAAGGTCTTTGCTTTAAAAGTCTTCCAGCAATTTGGATGGACACAGGAGAGAGGCTCAGAGGCATTTGGGTCAGGGGAGTGTCCACAGTGTGTGGACCTGGGGAGGGCCCAAATTTGTTTGCTACACTTTCTCACCAGAGGAACTACAGGGTTTCTTGGAAGTTTGTAAGTTTACATTTTACAGCTGGAACTCCCCCAACACACACACACACACACACACACACACACACACACACACTTTTTAAAAATTAACATAGGAATAATTGAGGGTTTAGAAAGCCCAGCAAAGCTACTTGCAGTCCTATTAAATCAACAGTACTTTCTAAGACTTGCAAAGAACCAGCAAGTTTTCCGTGTGTGTGTGTGTGTGTGTGTGTGTGTGTGTGTGTGTGTGTGTTTGGTGTATAAAAGAGAGAGAGAGAGAGAGAGAGAGAGACTGTTGTGTGTATTAGGAGGCTGTGCCTCAGGTCACTGCATAATGTGGGTAGCAGACTTCTTTTGGTTTGGATTTGCCTTGGGAGGGTTAAATGAATCATTATTATCATTATCATCATTGTCATTGTCATCATCATCATCAAATTGCTATGAAATATATAGTGAGTTGGTCTGCCTGCCTGCATGCATGCAGTCTATGAGTAGACTCTAGGAGTTCCCACTCATTTCTGCACACCCTCCAACCTTTATGGTTTAAAAAAAAAAAGAATCATTTTACAGTGTTGCTTAAAATACAATCCCTACAGCCTACAGAGTCATCTTCAAACACCAGAAATGTGAGAGGGTTTTCCCCCCTCCCCAGGAGGTGGTGGTGTGGGGTTCTGGGTGCAAAGTTTTAACACTTTAAGTGATATTAGAGCATTGTTAGTGGAGTTGTTTGAGGTTAGTATAAAAAAAAGATCTTTCAGCGTGGGCGCACATGCACACACACCCAACTTCATTAACCACAGTTTTCTGGGGTGGTCAATAACTCACCAAAACGTAACTTAAACACGATGAATTTAGGAGATTAAACAATTTCATTAATATTGAAATGGCTCTCGCGTCTGAGCTGCCTTGCTTGAGATGCAAGCGCACGTTTTTCAATATTAACAGAAGTGCTTGAAGAAAAGAATAATGACACCTTCTTAATTCGGAAAAAATAACTAGGAGAAGGAGGTGGGTGCTAGGAGGTGGAGGTGGGGGGCATTGACCTGTCTCTGGGGGTATGCTCAAGCTGGCAGATAAATGTATTGCCCATCTCTGAAGATTAAACCAGTTGGACTTGGATGGAACCTCTGCCGAGCTTGGACTGAAGGCAGTCCTACTCACCTGAGCTGCACGTGCTTCAGCTCCAAATGAGGTGTGGTTTTAAGGTTTGGATTTTCTTGTTTGTTTGTTTTTAGCACAGCCCTCAGGGTCCTGGTGCAGGAGGAGCTTGGGAGTCCAAAGAGGTGGGAAGCCTAAGGGACAGAGTGGGGATAGTGGAGAAGCTTGTGTTACCTAAAATGGAAAGGTGCTGGTCCATGTCTTGCTTCAGCCTACAGCTTGCTTCCAGGTACAAAACTAGAGTTCCTGTAAACAAGGCAGAAGTACCCTTGGGGTGAAAAAATACCAGCATGGAAGCCCCGAGGATTGTTTAGGATCCTTCTAGCAAACCTGTACCAGAATTGAAATTTAAACATGTTTTTAATTTAAACATTAATTGAAATGTAAACACAAAACAAAATGTTCAAGGTAGCTGATTGGAGATGGTGAGCATAAGAGAAAATGATTTTGGTCCTCCCGGAGACAGCCAAGAAGATTATTTTCTAATTCTTATGGGTGCATGTTGAGGATAGAGAACCGGGAGAGAGCAGTGTTTCTTATTTTAACAATCAGCATTTTGTTGCTTGGCAAAGGACCATTGTATGGCTGTCGAAATCATTGCTCAAAGTAAACAGAAGATTAACTAAATTCTAAGAGTGGAAACGTTTGAGTTGGGGGGAAAAAAAACAAGTTGGAATAAATCTTTGTCCATCTCCCCGGGAAAGTTGTCACCACCAAGTTCGGAACATGTCATGATACAAGTAGGAATTCACATCTGAAGAATCTTCAAAGTTTGGCTACAATAGCAATAGGAGTTGAGGCACATTGCTCATACCCAGGGTTAATTAAGTAAATCAAACCTTATATAACAAGTTTGCCTTGCAAAGGGAGAGAGAATTTGTGAGATTCGCATTTAAAATGTGTGCTTTGCTACAAAGTTTTATGTCCCTTCCTGCTGGAGGTCTACAAAGCCCAGGGGATGGAGGGAGGATTTGCATGCTATTTATAGCATTTTAAGACTGGTATTATAAAGAGGAGGAGGGAAAGAGCACTTTCCAGAAATCTTGAAAAGTGCATCAGAGTCTATTGTGCAGAACCCAAGGCAAACAGAAGCTGGGGGGGGGGGGTAGGGAGGGCACATCCGACCCGGAGGCTTAGGGAGTTGTTGGGAAAACTGTATAAAATACACATAAGTCAATTATACCCATGTGCAAACCAAATGGAAATCTCTTTCGTGCAATAGCCATTCATCGCCTCCGCAGAGCCCACCATCGACCACCTTTCTGCTTGGAGAGTTCGCAATAGCCTCTTTTCCCACAAGCTGGACCACACACGGCTACAGATTTCGTAATAATTTATGCTAATTTCCCTCCATAAATCCACAATTCGCTTCAGTGGCACCCGGGCTGCCGAGGGAGTAAAAAGGAGACAGAGGGGTGACAAATACAATATTGATTTTGATTCCTTCTGTTGTCAAGCAGGTGTGTGTATGCGCGAAGGGTGGGGCTAGGTTTGGGGGCGGGGGCTCCGGGGAGGAAAACCGTCCTTAGCCCCTGCCAGCCCCTCCATCCACACTCCAGAATATAACGCGCCCGGTTTGTTAATATTTACCAAACACCGRCAGGAGGTGGAGGGAAAGTACCCAGCAGCTTCCGAAGGTTTCCTAGGCGCCAAAAACAATACCCGCCGTCCCCACTTGGAAAGTGAACTCCCGGCTGCCTGGAGCGTTGCTGCTAAGCCTTGCTTTGCCCCCTCCTTTCTTCCCCAGGGCCCCCTCCCCTTGCTCCTCCAGTCTCAGTCTCTCCCTCCCTCATCCTCTTACTGTATCCCCGTCCTTCACTTCTCTTCGCTTCACTTCTCTCCTCTTTTGTCATCTTTTCTACCAAATTGGCAGTGAAATGTGCTGGGGAGAGAGGGCTGAGGACTGGCGCGCGGTGGTTTTGGGGTTTTAGGGCCTTGCGGGTCTCCTCTGCCCCGCCCCACCCTTCCAGGCCGCCTCCCGCATTTGCCCAAGTGCTTCTCTCCCTCTGGGAACCAGCGCTAACGCACCGCACCGCTTTGTCCCATCAGTCATTCTTCACCAAATCTGCACTTTGGTGGCGTGAAACGACTTAGCTTTCCTTTCAAAAGGATTTTGTTCCCGGGGTATTCAGTAGTAAAACAAACTCCCTCAGCCTGTCAGCGGTCAATTAAAAAAAATTGCCGTCCTGAGTGTCTTGGAGGTTGTTTGTCCTCGGAATCCGTGAGCCTCCCCCGCCTCCCCCTCCCCCCGCCCCTGCTCTGCACTGCCTTGGCTTTTACGGTTCTGGATCTCGGGAGCAAAGGGGACTCCCGGGCTCAGTGAGTTCTCCCGCTCGGAGGACACCGGACAGCAAGCACCCGCGGGTTCTCGCGCCCCAGAGCCTGGCACTTGGCTGGGCGCGTGTCAGGAGAAAACTATCCGCCATGACTCTCCCACGACTCTTGTGGGAATTTGGAGCCTCCGCCTGGCCACTCTTACGGAGTCTGGCTGGAAATCAAACCGCCCAAGGGAGAAAGGCGGGGGAGGGGACACACTTTCCGCTCTGGTGCCAACCGCCAACCGGCAGTGAAAGGACTCCTTACCTACTCACCCCTGCCAGCGCCCCAATGCCTTGCTGCCCAAGGAGCACTTTAACCAACTAATAGAAAAGAATGTCTGCCCTGGAATTTTGGAGCCATCTATTTCATGAGTTGTTCACTGGGCTACGTGGCATTGGACCTTAACTTAGGACAGGAAGTTTCAAAAGAGACTTTTGATGAGTAGATTATTGCCTAAAATCAGTTCCCCCCTCCCAGTTTAGTCTTGCTGGGTTTTAAGAAAGGCAAGAGTTTCTACCTCTTGCTCAAATGACTACCATCCAAATTGTGGAACTTGATTTCGAGGTGTTCCTTCCTCAGTCCTCACAGAAGAACTTACCCAGAAGCGGATAAAGTCTTTGGCTATGGTTGGGGTACCTGGACTTGAGTCTGTTTTGCTTGGGGGTAGGGGAAAGGGATTGGCTACACCCTGCCCACTTTAAGAAGCTGTC